AAGATGGAGGCTGTCAAAAAACTAAACAGAATTTAATGGTCATAGTTTTCTGTAGGGAAGTTAGGATAATGAAAATAGCATGGTGCTTATTCTTTATTTATAAAAGCTACCAAAAGGTATTAATCTAGATATACCAAATAACCTCTATAAGTGAGTCTGGTAGTCCAGTGTATGTTTTCTACTTAATACAAATTAGAAAAGCCAAGTTTGAGGAAATGATTCCTTCGCCATTCTCTCATGATTCAGTTATCTGTTTGCTTCTTTGAGCATATTCCTCTGACCACTGACCTTGTTGTGGACGTGAGGCTCCCCTCAAAACCACAGTCCTTCCCAAATCCACAGTGCTGAAGTGAAAGCGAGTTTTGTTTTGGAACAGAGCACTCCACAGTTTTCAGACACAAAACTTTCTGTTAGCCTCTTGATCCCTTAACTAAGGAATGTGTGTAAGCCAACTTAGGTGTGACATTATTCAGTTAGGTGGCTAGGTTGGGGAAGAAATGTGACATTTATTGGCTTTCAACTATATGCCAAACAGTAAGCTTGAAACACACACACACACACACACACGCACATGCACACATACACATTGATATCCATATCAATACATATATATGGTTTAATCCTTCACAGCAACCCATCAAGTATAATTATTATTGTCCCCAATGTGAAAAAAAAATGTTAAACCAAATTAAACAGGTACATGCAAGCAACTTGATCCTATACCCTTGTTACAAATTTTTCTAAATCAGTAGACCCTTTAAGAATTCTAATGATATACAAGTGAATCTTTTATTGTCCTGATAAAGCTTTGTTTCCTTCCTTCCTTCCTTCACTCCTTCCTTCCTTCTCTCCTTCCCTCCCTCCCTCTCTTTCTCTCCCTCCCTCCCTCCCCTCTCCTCTTTCTCCCTCTCTTCCTCTCTCCCACTTCCTCCCTTTCTTTTTGCCTAAAACTTGGACAATATCAGATATTGAGAGACCTTTTTTTCTTCTTTGTACTCACACTTGTAAAAACACCAGTTTCCATTCTAATGGAATGAGTGAAAGCTCTTTCTTGGGTAACCCCATCTAGAGAACTTTAGACTCTTACTGCTGAAGACAGTATGGTGCAATCGAAAGAATGCTCATCCATAAACAGCATATGTACCTAATTGAATCCTTCTGGGGTTTGTTCTGTTTTCCCTTTTTGAGTTTCTTTGAAATGTTACTTGAATTGCTTACTGCTTCAACCAAATAGCCCTATTCTATAAAATCCTACTGTGTTAAGTATCTTCACAGTGCTAATAGTCTGGCCACTTTCTAGGACCTTATTTCAATAACCCTGTCTTGCCTTTTTATTCAGTGGGATACCAGGAACTATTCAGGTAGTGAATGTTCATAAGGCCAGAAAATCAGACCCCTGTTTGTGCCTGCACTGCTCAGATCTTCCCTGTTCTGCACTTGTGAGCAGCTACACTGTACCTGTGTGCACCACTAGAGGTCAAAATAATGGTCCTGAGTTCTGCTAGGAAATTCTTTTAGCATCTTTGACTTCATCTTTAATTATACATTTTCCTGCAGCAGTAGTCATCCCAAAAGTAGAAGCGGTATCATAGACCACTAAAGCATGCGGTTAGTGATCCACCAAAGCATTTAGCACTAGGTGCTCAGTCAGGCGTGGGAGAGAAGTGTGGTGCTCTATTGATTGATTGCCTGTTGAACATCAATTTATTTCCTTTTCTTGTACTAGAACTCTCATTTAGTTCCAGAGACTTCCTTTCCCACAGTTCATATGGCTGGGGAGGTGGACTCCATGCCCAGTTAGAGAAGTTAGTCCTGCCTAGTCTAATTCAGTTAGTGCACGGCATTTCCCTGGCAGCTGTTACTGGTCTCGGATGGGCACCAGACCTAAATGGGCCGAATCTGACTGAAGGGAAGGACTTGGTTCTTTGGCGAGGAAGAGGCTTTGCCTGTCCTGCTGGAAGTAGGTGGCCTCAATTTAAAAAGTTGTGAGTTATAATCACAGGAAATGAGGCTTTAGAATGAATCTGACATTGTAGACTACATAATTGTTTTATTGTGCTGCTGATCAAACCTGAATCCCACCCTTTCCCAGGACTGCCTATTACTTCAGAACAAAACAAAACAAAAACTTGTAACAGAAATCAACCTTTCTATTACTTGGAGCTGAAATTATTTTGCACTGCAAGAAATAGGAAAAAGGATCCCAGAGAACAAAGCTGACTTCTGGACTCGTGGAGTCCAGGACAAGCACAGTTTGCTGCAGAGGCAGGATGCTTCCTGCTAAAAGCAGGGCAGGAAAGACCCGCCAGCCTCTGCCCCCGCACCACCTCTCAGGGGCTTGCTTCTTTCCTGGGTGTTTGTTTTGTTTTGTTTCGTTTACAACTCAGATTAGTTCATATCTGATAGTATTTTATATCTGAGAAAAGNGCCGGCAGTTCGTGGCCTCTAAGCTCAAGGTGCCGTGTTCAATCCTAGTTGCGAGTGGGTGTAGCCACCATCCCACGTGGGAGTCGAACCAGCAGCCTTGTTGTTAAGAGCGCTCACTCTATCCACTGAGCCATCCGGGCGGCAGTTCAACTCAAGGTGCTGAGTTCAGCCTTAGTTGCGGGTGGGCGTAGTCCACCATCGAACAGGCAATCTTGTTGTTACACCAGCTGAGCTATCCTGCTACCTGTTGTTGGCAGTTTAGCGACAGCTCTGCTTGGGCACAGTGTCGCTGGCCTATGTGGGAATCGAACCCGTGGCCCTGTTGCTCAGAGCTTGCGCTCTAGCCAACTCTTAACCAACTGAGCCACTCGGCTGGCCCCTGTTGACACTTTTTAGTCATATACCTAATTGAATCAGAAATTTTTAAGAACTCTCTTTATTTGATAATAGCGTTCAATGACAGAGCTTGTGACATATTTTTGTTTGTAGAACACATGGAAGAGCTCTTTGCACTTCTCGCAGTATTGCACAAAAGTTGTTTTCAAATCACATCACCCAGCTATACCCTGACTTCAGTGAAGGAATGGCTCTTAGAACACATGAAATGTGAAGTAATCAAAGGATTTCCAGAAATTTGCTTTTGTAAAGGGCCAGAAAGTTTGTGTGGGACACTCTTCGACTGGAAACAAAGGACACCATTTGAAGGGATTTTAACAGTCTATTCCAGGTAACGCACATCAAATTGGAATTGGTCCCGCAGAGTCAGGGTAGATGTGTGTGGTGAATGTGCTGTCCGACAGCAATCCCCCATGGTAGAGCTCTGTGTCAGCCATGGTGGGACATGTCCGGGTCATTGCCTGCTTTAGCAACAACGGGCAGGTGGCTTCATTTAAAAACTGAAGCTGTTTGAATTTTATGTATGTTTTTGACTTTTTTATTTTGGGTTGATGAGGGCCTAATAATTATTGTAAGAATTTCCCTTACCTCTCCCCCACAATGAAAATTTAAAAATCCAATGTTGGTCTTATTACTCAGAGAAAAAAATTAAGCAGGAAGCAACCTCACCAGTATTGACTGACTTGGTGTAGGATATGTGTTTTTGATTGCTACGGTCTGAATTACATCAGTGATCACATGCATGCATGATTGGTTGCATTCATTGCTAGAGTATTTATAAACAAATAGTAATTGATTACTACAATATGTTGTGTACAATCGCTTTGTGCTGTTCCAAATTTTGTAATATTGTGCTTTTTTTTTTTAATTCCAGGAATCGAACAGTTTTGTTCCAGTGCCTTCATAATCTCATCAAAGTTCTCCCTACGAACTGTTCCTTCAAAAATCTAAACTTAGGAAGTGAGGATTTCCTAACTGATCATTTGGCATTAACTTTGGAGAAGGAATTGGTTATCCTGGGTTCTGTTTCTTCTGCCTTAGTTAAGGTTGAAAACAACTTGGTGCAAAGGTGTGAAGCAAGCAAAGAAAAGAGTAGTGACATTCAGGCTGCTTTATCAGGCAGAAAAAAAACCATCCACCCCTACAGAGAAGAACTTCAGAGAGAAAAGCAAGCGTTGGGGACAAACCTAAAAGTGAGTGGTGCCCTTTATAGAGAAATGACTTTGAAATTAGCTGAGGTTCAGCTGAAATCAGACCTTGCTGCACAGAAACTAACTAGTTTATAATTATATCCTCAATTTGATTAGATTTCAAAGTACGTTTTCCCTGCCAGAACATTTTGGTTACACTTGTTTTCATTTTACATTATATGCCTCCTTTGTAAAAATAAAAATGGAGGCATTTGGTAGACTCTTAGGGTTTTGATGATGCACAAAATAAATAGCATGCATTAGGGCAGCAGTTCTCAGCAGGGGTTCTTTTTCCTCCTCCAGCCTCCCCACCCCCACACCTGCCACTTCCCAGGGGCATTTGGCTTGTCAGGGGACCTGTTTTGATTGTCACAAGTAGTGAGGAGTGGAAGAGTGAGGCAGGGGTGCCATTCGCAACTCTGTAAACATCAAGCTCCTGTGGAACCTTAAACAGCGGAGTGTCTGGGTGGGACCATTAAAATGAAAGTATTTGGAACCCTTGTTAATTTAAATTTTATTAGAAAGCATCTCTGAAAGTTAAGTCTAGGAATGTGAAAATTTTAGGGCATTTCT